TAACAAGTCTTCCTTTTAGGCCTATGGATAGTATCCTATCACAGATAGCATTGTACTTCAAGATAGATCTTGAAATCTAGATGATGAATGTGACACTATTCCTCTTCAATTTGTCATTCTTGGCACAGTAAACCATATGATTGACAGATTAAAATTTCAGCTCATTAATGCCATGGACTGCCAAAAGAACAAACAGATCTGTGTTGTAAGAAGTGCAGCCAGACTGCCCTTGGAAGCCAGAATGGCCAGACTTCATCTCTCATACTCTGGACATATTGTCAGGAGGGACCAGTCACTGGAAAAGGATATCATGTTTGATAAAGTGGAGGACCGGAGAAAAAGAAGACCTCCAGTTAGATGGTTTGGCACAATGGCATCAACAAAGGACTCAAACATAGCAATGATTGTTGGGTTAAGACCAGGCAGTGTTTTGTTCTGTTGAGCATAGAGGCAGTATAAGTCAGTACTGACTCGATGACACCTAATAATAGCAATAACAATGCCTAGGATATCAATCTTTCTACGTTTCATTTCATTTTTGACAACTTCCAATTTTCCTGGATTTATCCTTTGTACAATCCATGTTCTAATGATTAGTGGATGTTTATAGGTGTTTCTCCTTTTGAGTTGTGCATATCAGCAAATGAAGGTCCAGAAAGCTCCACTCCATTCCTGTCATGATGTTCAACTCTACTTTGAGGAGGCAGCTCTTCCCTGGTCATATTTTGAGTACCTTCCACCCTGAGTGGTTCATCATGATAGCACCTGACAATTTTCTAGTGCTATCATCATGTTTCAGTATTTAATATTCTGGTGCTGACAGTATTCCACTGCTATTCATAAAATTTTCAGTGACTAAATATTCAGAAGTAGTCTTTCTCCATCCTCCTAATCTGTCTTAGTCTGGAAGCTCAACTGAATCCTATCCACCATGGCTGACTCTTCTGGTATTTAAAATACCATTGTCACAGCTTCCAGCATCACAGCAACACGCAAGCCACCACAGTATGACAAACTGACAGACAAATGATGGAACTGAAATAATTAGTGACCATAGTTCAACAGAAATCCTCATAGCTATAGTTTGTTTTTATGAAGTTAATGTCACAAGATTTTTTCTTCATCACCAAAGCCTCCATCCCTTGGATAAACTGGTCTTGGATAAATAAACACAATACATAGTTATAATAACTGTTAGGTACAGAGGACTTTTGGCAAGAAAGACTACACAGACCTTCTGAAAAAAATCTTATGAAAGATCAAATGAAACAGACACAAATGAAAAATCTGGAACCCATAAGAAAGGTTAGAGGAGTGGACTGAGTGTTTGCTGGGAGAAAAAGCTGAACAGGGACAGTGAGAGAGGGAGACTATGATCGGCCTGACCCACAGCAGCCATCTTGTGAGCAGCTTTGGTAACAGAAGGTGGCCTGGCAGAGCAGATTCACACAGTTCTATTCTTTCTTTTTCCCCACACTCCCCTGGTAACCAGAGGTATGGCCAGTTCCCACCCTCATCCATCTTCAGTTCAGGTCCTGCTTGCTGGGGACCACAACAGTGTGAGGTGGGGTTGGCTGCACCATTTTGGTGCACCATTTTGGTGTAACGCTTTGGTGCCTGGATTAAGGTGGGCTCAGCTGCAGACCTACAGAACCTGCAGAGCCACCAGACCAGCTTTTAACCCATCACCCTGGCCACAGCTGCCCTGTAATCCTAATAGACACTGAAACTAGCTCCATCAAGGGCCTCCACAAACTGCTTCTGGACTGAGTGTGCTGAACATAGTTAACATTGAGGCCAGTAGAAACACTATCTAGGGCCAGGAACTCTGCTCTCACATCCTTCCCACATTCACCTTGTGAGCTCTTTGGCTTGTAGGAGCCCCCCAGAGTTTTCTCCACTCTGGTCCAATAGCTGCATTGTTTAGTTGTTTTTGTTTTGGAGCTTGGTTTTTTATTTTGATCTTTCATAGTGTTTGTTTATTCTTCTGCTTCCTTCTACTTCTCTTTCCATTCCCTTGAATTTTAGCCTGTCATTTTCACTTTTGTTTTTCCTTTGTTTCTTCTGTTTCCCGTTTCTCCTTTATTCTCCCTTTAGATCTTTCTTAACTACTCTTTACTCTTTTACTTGTAGTCTTTCTTATCCATGATTTTTCTAAGTCTTTTTCCTCTCATTTTTCTCTATTCAGTTCCACTTTCCACTTTTCTTTTTTTTTTTTTTTAATTCTTAAGTGTTTTATTATTTCTTCTGTTCATTTTCTCTCTTACTTTCCTCTTCTATAGCTCTATTTCCTGTCTCTCTTTTATCTTTATAATTTTTTTTTTTTTCTGGTTGCTGCTTGATTTTATTTGTTTATTTTTTTCTCTCTTTTCAATTTTGGTTTCCTGAAGAGAAACATCTTACAGGTGATTGGAATTTCAGAACATTAAGAGACAATAAAAAACACAGAGAAAATTGTCAAAGGGTTGTTGGAAGAAAACTTCCCTAACATCATGAAAGATGAGAAGATAAGCACACAAGAAGTTGAATAAATTCCAAACAGGAGAGATCCCAAAAGAAAATCACAAGACATATCATAATAAAATTTTCCAAGACCAAAGACAAGGAAAGAATCCTGAGAGCAGCTAGGGAAAAATGAGAAGTTACCTACCAAGTAGAACCAATAAGATTAAGCTTTAATTTCTCAGCAGAAACTAAGCAGACAAGAAGGAAATGGGATGACATATACAAAACTCTGAAAGAAAAAAAAAATTGCTAACCAAGAATCATAATCAGCAAAACTGTCCTTAAGATACAATAATGAAATTAGGATGCTTCCTGATAAATAGAAATTAAAGGAATTTGTAAATATCAAGCCAACTTTATAAAAAGTTTTAAAAGGTTTTCTATAGACTGAGAACCAACAACAACAGACAACCTGAGATTATCATATACAACACATCAAACAGAACTCAGTCCAGATAAAGAAGTATTTAAAGTAAAATAAACTTACAAGACTGAAAACAGGGAATCAGATCTATCAATGTATAATGAAGTCAACTACAAAGCAAAAAGTAGAAATAGTGTAGATACAGAACTTCCAAATGGTAAGTAAGTCAAGTTGATTTCAATATAAAACAGACTGATGAAAATAGGAAGAAAAAAAATTACAGGGTGACATGTAATTTACCCTGAAAATTAATACACCTGCACATCAAAATAAAAAAAGAGGAAAATAGAAATATTTAGTAAATAGCAGCACAACAGAAATGAAAATGAAAAGAAAATCTACCAACAATATGAACTCAGCAAAGAAAATCAAATAGAACAAAGAAGTCAGCAACATTCCAAAAAAAGCACACAGCAGTTATAACAGCAATCAATTCATGCCTATTGATAATTACACTGAATATAAATGGATTAGAAAAGCACCAGTCAAAAGAGAATGAATAAGAAAACAGGATCGTTTACTATGCAGTCTACAAGAACGACATCAAAAAGAGAGACAGCCTATATTTCCATCAACAGAAGAAAGTTTATACAAATTTGGGGACATACACGAAATGGAATACTACACAAAGTTGAAGAATAATACTGAACCTGTGAAATGCCTCACAACTTAGATGAACCTGTTGTTGTTACTGTTTTTGTTAAGTGCCATTGAGCTGGTTCTGAATCAGCACCCCTGTATAGGCTTTCCAAGAAGTGGCTCGTGAGTTTGAACTGCCAACCTTGTGGTTCAAACCAACCTTGAGGTCCAGTGCCCATCCTATAGTGGCACAATTAGTCAGTCACAAAAGGACAAATATTGTTGAGACCAATGTAAAAAGTTAAGAAAAAAATTTTTTTTCTTAATAAAAGAAGCAATCTGTGATGGTTATAGAGAGTGGAAGGAGGAAAAATTATTCCTGGGACAGAGTGTAGACACATGCCAGAATAGGTGACAGAGAAGGCAATATTCAAGGAGGTTAGCAGAGGGAAGATGAAGGAGACAAAGGGAGGAATGCAATAGTTAAAGTGAATAGAGGTAAATACTGTTAAGTGATGGTACATGAAGGGGATTGCAACCATGTAATGAAGCAAAGTATATGAACTGCTTAATGTAAAACTAAAGATCTGCTCTGTAAACTGTCACTCAATTCACAGTAACAAGCTAAATAATAATAATAATAATAAAACCAACCTGCTACGTAGTGTAAAAGGGCATCAAATAAAATTTTTATTTCCTTTTTTCAACTTACTAGTAATTCCCTGCCTTTCCTTATACAGGTTGTATTATGTAAGGCAGACAATGACAGACAGCCCAATGACCAAATGTGATTTTAAATAAAGTTTTATTGAAAGACAACCACCCCCATTTATTTTACATATTTCCTATGACTGTAAAAGTGGAATAGCTGCTACAAAGATTGCATGGTGGAAGCACTTACTAGCTAATCTTTTAAACACACTGCTGTAGTATCCACACTGTTCTACCACTTGCTTTCTCATTTTAAAAAGTCATTCATTCAACATATAGATCTATTTCTTTCTTTATAGTGGTGATGTATTTCAGTGTTAATGTAAGTGAACAAATCCCGGAATAGGTTTAACCTGTCTTTTAAGTTATTGCCTGGTCTTTGCATCTTGTATATCTGTTAGATCAGCTTTACAAGTAAAATTATTGAGTAAAGGTTATGTGCATCTGTATGATTTTAAGAATTATTGTAAAATATTTTATTGCAAAGTTGCTATAGCATTGACTCAGTACTTCTCTTGTTCTCTTTTCTGTTTTGATAATGTTGGAAGAAAAACATAGCCAAAGGTTATGAATGAAATAACAAACATTGTAAGGAAATATAATATAGCACAAACTCTGCAAGAAAATAAAAGTAAATCTAAAATACTAAAATTTCATAGACATGAAAGTGAGGAGAAATAATGAAAATGATGCAACATAGAAAGGAGTTAAAGAAAAAGAAAAAATGTTATTCCTCAATAAAGAAAAATCATATTTTGCCAAGTTTGTGTTATATATTAAGCTAACTATGGGTTTCAAATATGGGTAAAAAAGTCTTTAGTTGCAAGATCTCAGAGACAGACTGTGCTTTTTCCTGATAAAAGTCAAGTCCAGTAAGAAGCTCCACATCTCGGACCCTGGCAGTATGTGCATTCCACCTTTCTTCAATCCAGACAGCTTCTGGCTTACCCTCCTGAAAAAGAGAAACAGGACTATTTTCTATAGGGCATGATTTTTCATTAAGAGAAAGATCTTTAATTGCTTAAAAACTGTCCTTTTCTCTTATTTCTATTGACTTGCATCATAATTTAATAAAGTTTAAATTGGGGTTTGTTAGGATAGAAAAAATAAACAAATGTACAAAACTCCATACAATAAGCACTGGACTGGAAACCACAAGGTCCATGGTTCAAGCCTGTCAGCCGCTCCATAGGAGAAAAATGAGACTTTCTGTTCCATCAAAGGTTAAAAAGCCTTTCTCACCATTTGCTTTCCTGAAATGACCATTCTATTTTTTATGTGGAGTCTACAGGTTGTGCAAAGGAGCTCTGGTAGCATAGTGGTTACGAAATCAGTTGTGAACCGCAAGATTAGCAGTTCAAAATTACCAGCTGCTCCGCGGGGGGAAAAATGAGGCTTTCTGCTCCTGTAAAGATTTACAGCCTCGGAAACCCTGTTCAGGGTCGCTATGGGTCGGAACCGATTCGATGGCACTTAACAACAACAACAAGTTGTGCAAATGGTGGAAAAACTCGATTGATAATTAAAATATTTGAGGTTGGAGTCTACCCAAGAGGCACCTTAGTAAAAAGGTCTGGTGATCTAGTTATGAAAATTCAGTCATTGAAAACCTATGGACACAGTTCTACTGTAACACCCTATGGGTCACCATGAGTAAGGATTGACTCAGCAGCACTGGTGTGTATCTTACACACCCCAGGAGCTAGAAATGACTGTATATAATATAACAAACTGAAGAAAAGTTCAATGAAAAACAATACTACTCAATTTCTATGAAACACTTCCATAGTCATTATCCAACATGCAAAGACAGTCGAGATCAATCTTTGGGAAAAGCAGGATCATTTTGAAAGTAAGCAAATTGAAAAAGACTATAAGACTCAGGTAGACGGAATTGGTAATAAAAGGAACTTTCTTTTTTCAAATCTGTGTCTCCATGCATTTAATTATATGGATTTTACCAGGGATTCATTTATTCACTTTTATTAAGTGCACCTTGACTTCTTGTTGTAGTGTAGTTTAGGCACATTGTAAAAAAATTTAAAACACACTGGGATATTAAATTAGCTGGTCGATTGCGAGTGGGTGATGAATGTGAAAATATTACATATCCCTATAAATACATAATACATTGTGGATGTATACCTGTGTACAGTCTATATTTTACTCTGCTAGCAGCCATTTTTAGTGGAAATTAGAGGCAGACAGAGTTCCTGAGCCAGAAAATAATGTATATTTGATTTTAACTTGGCTATGTAGTAGTACTGCGGAGTCCTGGTGTGGCGCTGTGGGTTAATGCGCCAGACTGCAAAGCCGTTTGAACTGCAAGGTTTGTGGTTCAACCTCACCAGCTGCTCCTTGGAAACCCCATACAGGGTCTTTATGGGTCAGAACCAACTCAACGGCACTTAACAACAACAACAACATGTAGTAGTTCTGTAGGAGCTCTGGTAGCATAGTGGTTAGGAATTGGGCTGCGACCGCAAGGTCAGCAATTGGAAACTACCAGCTGTTCCGCGGGAGAAAGATGAGGCTTTCTGCTCCCGTAAAGATTTACAGCCTCGGAAACCCTGTACAGGGTCGCTGTGAGTCGGCACTGACTCCACGGCACATAACAACAACAACAA